ACAGCTAGTGGGGTATTACCACCTACCTTCCCCGGTGCGATCGAGGTCAAGTGCTATTTTCGGTAAAGTCATGCTAGTTGAAAAGACGACGTTGAGCCAACATTTGGGATTCACGACTCAATCAGTAACTAATGCTTAACTATGACTTCGCCCACATCTCCTCTCGCATAAGGGGCGGGCGGCATTGGGAATCAAACCCGTATCTGCGATTTGCAAGGCGCGATGCCTAACCACTACACTACCGGTACCCCACCCGAATTCGTTGGCCTTTCTGTCATACAGAGCGTTAAATCAAACATTACCAAAAAATAGCCTTTTAAAAAAGATAAATTGATAGACGTCTTTATTACGAACTCACAGGCTCGGTCACATTTGTAGATACCAAATTTGGTCCATATAACCAAGCACTAACATTCAGATCTCCTCACACACACATTCCTCATGCACAATTTAGAAAGCCGGCGCTTCCTATTTCTCTCATTCTAGTTGGGCACATTATGAGCTAAACGTTCCTACGCTGAGTTATCAACATTCAGTGCGCCAGGACGCTTTGGCTATGCGACGTTATAGAGCAAACCTTGGTTATGTGGCAGGTACAAATGATCAAAATCATGATTAATGAGCTTATGTCTTGCATAAAAAGCTCCTTGTGCCCGATTAAAGGCTGCAATTGTACGCCATTTTTGAGGCAAATGAATTAGAGAGACGTCTTTATTCCAAGTGTAATACAATTTTTTCTTCTTTCTTTCCTTGAGCCCATTTTTTATTCTATAATACTTAATCTACTTTACTATGAGCTGTAATGACCAACGATCGGGAAATTCACATGCAATAACTGAAAACACCACTAAACCTTATTCCTTCGCGAACAAGAAATGGCAACATTCCACAGGCTGTTACCAGTAACGCGTATCTTGCGGCGAGGAATGAGCAAGATGAAAAGCCGATAACTCAGCATGAGGACTCTGAACTCATAATGCCGAAATACCAGAGGCTGAAGGCCTTTCTTGTTTGTATCAAGTCTAAACGAGCAGAACACACTGGAAGTGTCTATACCTATCATACATAACCTATCATATACCTATAACCATGTACATAACCTATCTGATTTCTGGTTGCTTTAAGCTTACAAAAATCAGTACTCTAGTTTTCTAATCAAAGCTGCGCAGCGCAACATATTTAAATGCGCACAAATTGCACTGTGGCTTTCAAACTTTGAAAAACCTTACAAAGGTTCAGGTAGCGCACGGTATGCAGCACGTACTTTGGCCATGAAATATTTGTGGCATGGCCACCGCAGCTGCGCACAGTTTAAGAGTGGCATGACCACCGCAGCTGCGCACAGTACATGAGTGGCATGGCCACCACAGCTGCGCACAGAACAAGAGTGGCATGACCACCGCACCTGTGCACAGTACATGAGTGGCATGACCACTGCAGCTGTGCACAGTGCAAGAGTTCGCAGAAAGCCTGAGTAATTCACGTCTTTTACGTTTGTAAGTAGAATTTCTTCATGAGAAAAAAACGTCAAAAAGAAAGTTGATGCTTTTAACGTATACAAGCATCATCCACAAGGTCACCACATATGTAATGTCCAATATATTTGGTGCTCAAAACTTTCCCTGTTCTTTTACAATTCAAGACAAACTTGGGTGGGGTGAGACTTCTCGGATTAGCAGATCTTAACATTACATGTTCACTTTCCTGTGGCTTTACATTATATATTGCCAACAACTCCGTTTTTTTGCAAACTCTCAGTATCTTCCTGAGGCGAGAATCAGATGGGGATAAACTAGCAAGCTTGTATGTACACATTAAGTGGTTGCTCAGCCTCCTATCAATACAAAAGCCATTGCAAATATCACTGGAAAATGCGCTCGGGCCATCCATGTACGCTTTGAATAAGTAGGGCTACAGAACTCCACCTTGAGCGGATCCAGTGGTGACGGGGAACTTTTGGTAGAAGGTATATGTCCGTGTTACAGCCGCTGCCTAGTTAGCATATCAATACATCAAAACGCACCTGACGTAGTCAGCAACATAGGGTCCTTCAAACTTTCCAAAAAAGAAATTATGGTGTACTCCGTCAAAAGATACTGGCGTCGAGAAAACAGCTGAAGTAGCACCAACAAAAGCGCAATATGAATATATAGGCTCTTTTAAGAGCTAAATTCATATTGATCATTTCTATACCCTTGCTTGAGGCCAACTTGGCTGTCACGAGTAGCCATATATATATATATATATATATATATATATATATATATATATATATATATATATATATATATGAACTCTCTGAAGTGGAATTGGCCCGAACACTGCTCAGATCGTTGGCGAGTGAAATAAGACGATGCAAATAAAGCCTTTTGATGCGTTCTTGCTGACATAGTTATTGATAATGAGAGCCAGCGCAACATCAATGACTGTGTCCGGGACAAGTCACGCATAAATGTGCGTATGAAACACGCGCTAAGAATTACAAGCGAGTGCTTTGGGGCTTATTTCAAGCACCCGGCAAAAATTCATCTAGACCATTGCTTTGTTTGCGCTAAATCCCTGCATTTTTTCGCAATTTCGCCCCCTGTGACTCGAACTCCGTCCGGAGACAATGAGACAGTAGCCCCAGCAGACCCAGTGACGCGCCACAAAATGACTCGAACTCCGTCCGGAGACAGTGAGACAGTAACCCCAGCAGACTTGTGACGCGCCGCAAGACTAACGCCCAGGAGAACTATGCTCACACTCCTCCAAAGACACAGTCTGTAGACTGGTACATAGGCTTTTGTAGCGGTTGCGCAACAACTGTACAATTTATTCAGCTCACCATAAACAGTTGTCCTTAAGAACTTTTGCATTCATCATGATAGTTGATGGGATTGATTATTTATTGGAAATCAATATCATATCCTTACAAAACAGCCTTTAATCATGTTCAGCCAACTTTCTGCTCACATTTAGGCCGTTTAAGAAACTGCATGACGGGTTTAAATCTCGCCTTTGCCTCTTTTCCACGCTTTTCAAAAATGGTCTAATTCTGGACTTGCGCGCGTCTCTCATGCTTCTCATGCGTCTTAAAACACCGCGGTATTAGACTATGAAATGTTTGACAGTTACATGGACTATTCAGCGACGAGATTAGAGTATTTGGAAGATCAAATTAGTTTTGAAATCATTTAAAAAGAGGCATACGTCAACGTGAAAGTTAGCCACATAGCGTAGAAATTCGTGCATAAATACGAAGATTAAATATGGTATGCAAATAAGTCCATAGCGCATTATGTCGCCTAGATACCGATGTATTACATAGCGGAAGAAGACGTTGTACCAAAAACTGTCAATACAAGTTTATAGCCACTGGAAGCCTTTATCAGAATGACTGATTTCGCTGTCATATTTTAAGAAATAAATTGGAAGGTACCTGATGACCTGTTTACTCGTCATTTTCATGTGCGTTGGGCGCACGTGAAAATCAGGTGAGGTCATGATAAAGTGTGACTTATTATACATACCAACTTGAGCACAAATGGTCATCCAAGGCAGCTTCCTTGTCTCGTGATGGGGCTTACCTAAGGCGAAAATGTCTGTTTCATCTTTTGAAACATTCAGGCAGACAGGAGAGGTGTAACCGATGAACCATCGTTAGACATTTACAAACGTGATAACGAGAAGCTGTGTGCAGGGATTCAAATAAGCACACCAAGTATACTGGGCTCTTAGTCATAATCAAAATCCATTCATTCGCCCATTCACTCAGGATCAGTTGACATGCACGCATGTCCACTCGGACCCCAGAGGGCAGTACGCAGACCAGGCCTATATATATATATATATATATATATATATATATATATATATATATATATATATATATATATGAGCAGACCGGGAATGCGACGTCAGGCGACGGATCTGTCTACGGCGTAAGAAAACAGTCCTTATCTTCACAAACTGCGCAGATGAAATCGGCATCAGGGTTGAATCCATAGGGCTTTACGAAATTTGTATATTAAAGCTGCAGGGTGCAGGATGAAGCACGCATGGCCATTGGTCATGGAAAACACGCAAGGAAGGGTGCCTCCTAACACAATATAGAGGGTGCCTCATAACACAGAACTGGGCCTTCTAGTTTTTAACGACTCCCCGAGTCAACAAAGGGGCCTCCTTAGCACAACGTTGGGGCCCCTGGTCTAGAGCATTGCCTAATTTATTCATAAAGGTTACCTCATGATTCAGAAAATGGTTCTCCTGATGTAGCAAAGAGCCTTTTGAGACCGATTCATTGCTCTCTAGATCAGTTTATGGGGCCTCCTTAATCTGCTTTGTGGTGCTCTACGGATAGCTACAACGCCTTAAGTATGGGAAAGGGGGTCTCCTTTCGAGGGGGTGGGGTAAAAGCGTACACTGGTCTGACTGCTACTCATACTACTCACTCTCAGGCAACTGTCCCCTCTGCCCCCCCCCCCCCTGCTGGGCCGCCCCTATATGCATAAAGAACAAATGATGCAACGGGTATTCTCAACAAACTATCTCTGAATTTACTAGCGATCTCGGCTCACATCAGTAAAAAAAACATGCAGCGTTGCAGGCATACACCTATGACTGCCAGAAGGAGGAATCCATTGCACGCTCAGGAACGTATAACGCTGGTGTCAAATTAATCTGTTTATTTATTTTTTACTGAAGTTGGAGCCGATTCTTCGTTTATAGTAACTTGGGCGGATTTCAAAAGAGAGACAAAAGCAGAAATTAGGTGTGCAAAGATGCTCTTTGGTATGAACAAACACTAAACTTTCGATCCAAAGGCACACACTGAGCACCAGCAGAGGTCTAACTGATCATCCCCGCCACCTACTCCAGCCGGCCTGGCGTCTGCCGGTGTGACGTCACGCCCTGGCGGCGGTGACGTCACGTCGGGGCGGGCCGCGGCGCGGTGCGGCTCCGGGAGAAAGGCGCGCGCCTTTGCGACACGCCGGAGTTCCTGTTCCAGTTTGGCGGCGGGTGGAGCGGTGCGCGGCGCGCGGCGGCCATGGACGCGCACGGCGCCTCGTGACGCGCGACGAGACGCTACGGCCGCCGACAGTGCCGTGCAGTGGAGAGACGGACGGGCAGGGCCGACACCCGGGACAGCCATGGAAGGCGGACGGCCGGGACGCTGCCGGCGGAGGCGACCACCGCAGACGCTGCTGCTCTGTCTCGCGCTGCTGCTGGCTTCCGGTGAGTGCTGCACTGCGTGCCACCGGTCCCGCTGTCAGAGGGACCGCCATGGCTCCGGGTGCTCGCCAGCAGGACGGCGCTCTGCCGCGCTGAAACACACGGGAACAGCTCTCTTCCTCCCCCAGAGTTGCTGATGTGCTAACCTCCAACGTTTGAGCATAAAGCAGGTCAGAGGTCCGGCTTCGTAGAGTTTCCGGGTGAGGTCCAGTCTTCCGTTCCGGTTTTGGGGTACATTTGTCCATGCAGCGTGCGCTGAGAAAGTTAACTGGTTTAGCAAAACCACTGCAAAGTGTCGTGACTGTGTTGCATGCTGAGTTTTCTGCCCAAAACATGAACATGACCACGCCAATATGCCAAAGCGCAGGTGTGAAGGCGACCTTGCTAACTTTCATTGAAATTACTACGTTTTAAGTATTTTATCATGGGTAATGCTTGTTCGGAGAGCTTTACCAGACCAGTATTTCTCATCTTCCCCAACCGTGTCTGGTAACGCGCAAGAGACCACAGACTACAGCGCATCGCGGCCAGTGCAAGCCCGCATAATCAATAGCGCGTTAGCACGGGGCACAACAGTTCAGCTGGCTGGCGGCCGGGCAGCTGCTCTGTATTGGGGAGCCGGCTCACGGCCGCCGGGGCCATTGTGGGCCGTCCGCTCTCAGTCCGTCGCCGGGCGAGGAGAAACCTGGCCGGGCCGGGCCGGACCGCTGACCTCAATACGGCCCGGCGCCGCCAGATTGGCGACCGGAGCCACGAAGGTCGGCCCTGGCCGCGCAGCGTGACCTGTGGCAGCGTGCGGGCTGGACGCGCCCACAGAACGTACACTGCGGCGCGTGGACGCTGTGGAGATGACCGCTCGCGCGTGACGTACTCTGATGGACGGTGCAGGACGTGCGGACTTCCCGCTGCGAGGTGTGACCTGCAGGACGCTGCGATGCTGATCGCGCCTGCACAGTGTGACCTGTGATGGTGATATGCGGGCTTACGCGATGAGATAGAGCGGACCGAAGGAACTTGCGACAATAGCGGTGCCTTCCCCTGACACGGAGTGACCTGAGGGACACTGCGGCAATAACGGCGCCTACCCGTTGGCAATGGAGGATTTACTGGGCGCTGTGGTACCAGTCGCTCCTGTCCCGCCTCACCTGAGTCTTGCAGACCACTGAGGCTAAGCACTCCCAGAAGCTGGCACATCCGCGATTTGTCGCACTGCTGCATCGCTGTTTTCGTGGGTAACTGCACAGCTGCGCTTTATTGGTTAATTGCGAAACGTTGTCAACCGCTTTGGGACCAGCATTTACGCGTTTTATTGGATCGAAGTTCCCGCCGCCAACGCATGTCTGTTAAGAATTAAATCTATTCTATTAACTCCTTGAGATAAACTGACTGATAGAAGCTAACTTTGATTTCATCAATAAATATCAGCATTGATAAACAAATACAGCATTAGCTCGTGCATACTAAATGTTTCTTTTCTTGGTCTAATCTATTTTCCGTTACTTAGTGTTTCTAAGAATGTTCTGTTCTGTGCTGTTGATTTCAAGCATCGTGTTTTTTGTCTTAGTTTCAAAACAAGGACGGATATGTTTTAGCTCACTCCTCTAGTAGTTACGTTACTCAATTATTTGTTCCACTGGAAACCCCTTCCTTACAAGAGAACGTCAAAGCTTTTCTGTAAAGACGTGACAAAACCTTCATAACATCAAAAGCACGGGGGATTTCCAGCTTTCCCGAGCCACGTATCAGGGCGCGTTTTGGGCCAATCACATCACCAGTCACTCGGACCCAGATGCTGTAAAACAGGTGAAGAGAGGGGGGGGGGGGGGGTACGTGACAAATACAACTGCTGTTTGTTGCTTGGTACCAGTGTGGGAACACAACTCTCTCGTCACCCCTCGAACAACCTTCAGTCACGATCCAGGAGTGCCATCTCCGGAAATACGTGCCACTTCTTACAGCACGAGCTCGTCACGGACACCATGCACTCGCACGCGGTTTACGAGGCGGCACCACAAACACTTTCAGCCGTCGAAAAAACTCCCCTCTGATCACGGGCCAGCGAGAGGGAACGGCGAGATGCGGCTCTGGCTGCCGCATTTCTTGCATGCGTCGTCACCCGCGATCCTGACGCCAACGTTGAACACCTCAGGCGGCGCGGCCAATGCTCCCCAGACTTGCTTCAGCATTAAAGCGGCGATGCGCGTTCGCGGTATCCACCACCAGAGCCTGTTGATACGTTTGTGTGATGCGTTTAGTTCTCACTACCTTATGTGGAGCGTTGCAGTCACCATAGCAGGTGACCGCTTCGCATTTATGTCTCTCGGCTACGCTGGAGCCCGCGGGACTAGGCACGCCCGTAAATGTAATTAGCGGCGAAATTCATGCTCTTGAGTGTAAATTCTTGGTTTACTTCTTGTTGCGTATATGCCACATGGCACGCATCCTTTCAAAGCTATCTTGATGCGTTGCATTGCATCGGACACACATATGACGAAACACTATAAAAGTGCACAGAATTTGGAGACAGCGTGGGCATATCGCAAGTATGGAACGACGCAGCCACACTCACTCTTCACCTGAGGTAGACTCATCTGACCCCCGAAAACGCTTGCGAGCAAACATTCATATATCAAACAATGACCAAACTCGGCCACCTCACTTCGAACCGCTGGCAGCAGCTTTCGCGCCGTGTCTTCAGAGGCACCGGTGTCTATTGGCCCATAGCGGACACACGTTCCGGAGATCACCTTGCTGAGAGCTTTCTAAGTGTCTAATTGCGACACGCTTTTAATCTGTTGATTGCAGTCCGCGACATTATGCATGGTTTACGACAAGCAGAAGTGCCATCACTTGTGTGACAATGCGTCTATTGTAATGCATACACCACGGAGACACAGGTCAGCAGAACATTGAAAAACGACGAGCATCTCAACGCTTCGCTTCGGTTCGAAAACAGTGCTTTAGTGGGTGATCCAGTCCATACTTGAGTGGGTGATGTTTTTGACTTGCTCATTGCCACTCGCCACCACAGGCTTGATGTTCAAACTTGCTGATATTTGAAAGTCGCTCATTCCCTGCTGTCCCCCGGCCTTTGTACCCCTGAACTGGTCTCTCCCGGTGGAGAGCCATGTCCCCCGGGCCTGGCAGACCGCGTGTCCTGGCGCCCGTGCTGACGCGCGCGCCCATGGGCGGTGGCCGCCTTTCGGCCGGGCCGGCTGCTGGTCGGTGACGGGAACGCGGCCTGATGTCATACCTGACAGCGCCATCAGCTGTCGGCCGTCGGCGGCGGCAGCAGCGGCGGCGCCGCGTGCCGGACCGCGGCAGCCGCCGCCGGCCGGGGTTCTCACGTAACTCCTGGCTTTCTGCGCTCCGCCCTCCCCACAATGCCGCGTGAAAGCGGCCGCCGTTCCGAGGATGACACTGCCGCAGCGACGGCGGCAGGGCCGGCATCGCTGCGGTGGCCGGTCGTCACACAGTACGCCGCCCCCTCGGAATTGTGCCGGCGGCGAGGCGAGCGATGTCGCCGATTTCATCGATTGAATTCACGCAGGCAGCAGAAACTCCGCTGAAACACTTCCCACCAGAGGCCCGACACTGCGCGCATGTAAGACGCCGCGGCCACGCGAGACCGCGATGAGCTGACCACACCCGATCTTCGGCCAGCGCCTCGCGCCGCCTCCTCGGGCGTGATCGAGGCCCGGCCCGGCCGCGGCCGCGCGTGGCCCGCTTGTTTGTCTCACGCCGCCGCCGGCGCGTTGGCCACGGTCCACATTCCGAGCGGCGGCCGCGGTGCGGCGCCGGCGCCAGCCGATGGGTCCGGCGCGCGGGTCCGGCGCTGCCGTCGCCGCCGGCGCTGTAGCCACGGCTGCCACGGCAGGGCCGTTGACGCTGTGTGAGCCGGTGTCGCAGCGGGGTTACTGGGGCGGCAGGCACGCCGGGGCGCGAGCCGGACGTGCCGGCAGCGAGTGTCGGGGGAGCGAGGCAGACCCCCTGGGACGCGGGGGCGGGACCGGAGCCCGGCGTGAACAGTAAACAGCAGCCAGTGGGGTGCTGTGTGTAGGCTGAGGGAAGGACTGAGTCAATGACCCGGGCATGTCCAGCCGATGTCGGCTGACGCTAGCTGAAGAATTTCACTGGAATTGTTTTGAGTTAGTTTCCTGCATGTCACCTGAGAATTTCCTGAAAACCTTAATGGAACACAGTCCCATCGGTGCCATTAACATCATGTTGTCCGGAATGGCTGGCTGGTCAAGCATTACTAACACCCCTTTATTCAACCTACCAGCCTGTGGCATACGACCAGCACCAGAAAGACTGCATCTGAACACAACGAAAAGCTGTCGCGCTGCTTGGGCGAGAATTTCAAGATAACCGGTAGTCTAGCCGTGCTTAATTCACGTTTCAGTTCACCGTCACACTTTCCTTTAGCAGTAACTGCTTCATTTTGGGGGCAATCTTCGCTTTACTGTCAGCTTCGTAGCGTAGCATGTAGACTGGACTGGACTGGAGTGAGGACTAAGCTGTTCCTGACCTCTGTAACCGGTCTCGCAACCAGCCGCCGGCGACCAACGCCAGTCACCACAGGTGTTCGCCGACGTACTGTACACGTACACCGGGTGTCGGTGACACCAGGTGACCCCGCCCAGTTCCAGAGGCTTCAATCAAAGGTCATCGGCCCCGCAGTGAGCGACGTCACTCGGGACTCCTCCAGGCCCTCTCCCGACCTCACGTGGGCCTCGGTCAATGCCTTACCTTGCTGCCGTACTCCATCGGGAATCGCAGCTGCTGACCATAACCTGGTAACATAGCCAGTGCTACAGGCGCAGCAAAGCTACGGTGGCCGACCGCAGCGTACGTAGAATTTCGTAAGGGGTGGATGGGGGCGGGGATGGGGATACAACTTAAATGCTTTCGCTGAAAGCCCAGTTAAGCGCGCCACAGAGTGCGACATTCATTTCATGGCGTAAAACAGAATTACGTGTTCTCGATTTACTTGTCTTTAT